TTAATTAAAAAACAATTTATTATCACTGTGATAAGAGAAATTGCACCCAGAAATTGATAACAGCCGACCTAGGAGGATGAATTGGGTTTGGCAACTGCCCAGAAACAATAAACAGCTTTACTAGCTCTCCAGAGAACAAGAACACTCAGTTCGGAATAAAAAAAGGTCCAACTACTGCCCAGAATTAACAGCAGTCTTGAGTTTTAGGGTTTTCTCTTAAAACCCTAAAAACTCAGGATAAGAGAGGAGATTTCCCAACCACACCTTTCAGAATAAGCAAAAATAATCTTTTTTTAGCTTGATCTCAAGAAAAACAACTTCATGAAAAAACTCTGGCCACCACCTTCAAACTGATATCTGAACCCTAATCTTGAGGATTCGAACCTGCTTCTGATTCTTCCAGATCACTGGATCTCTCCAAGACTCTAGAATCTCTTTAGTAGCAGCCTCGCACTACCAGCAACCTCCAGGAATCAGCCAATGACTTTCTTTCTGCTGAAACTTCCAAACCTAGGAGGTTATCATGTAGTCAGCCTGATTAGACTAGCATAAGAACTCCTAGGTTGGCTCTGATACCAAGTAGTCGAATAGGACTACAATCTGTCCTAGGTTTAATGAGAAATTAACAAACAAAGATTGAAAAAGAGAAGAGAAGAGGAGAAGAAGAACTCAAAGAAGGGAATTCAAAAGAGAGAGAGAGAGAGAGAGAGAGAGAGAGAGCTTTCAACAGCCGCCCCACTCTTACAATTTATATTAATATTCGAATGAAAGTAAAAGGGCTGAATTATCCTTACTGCTTACATGGCAAAATAATAAAAGAAAACTAATAACTATAATTGAAATAAACTACCAACTAACAAACTGAAAATGACTAACTGCTAACTACAGTCATACGAATGCAGTGGGGACTACATCAGCGTTCTCTACATTCATCAACCACTATCAAGATCCAATTTCTTGTTATTTTAAACACCTGGTCTACTACTACTAAATCATCTTCAACCTTCCCCCCCCCAATTGTGTCCATGACCTTATCCTGCATCTCTTCCATGCATTACCAAATGCATCTGTTAGGTCATGTTCGATAATCAATATTTTGATCCCTGAGTGCAAATCCTTACTGACAGCTTTGAAGAATTATCTCCAAATATTTTGTAACAAGAACAAAAGGTTGCATAGCAATGCCTTGTTTTTTACCATAATTCTATCCATCCTTGAGCAAACTTCACAAGATTAAATTATCCCTTTCAACATTGATGGTTGAAGGGATACTAGAAAGAGAAATAATCTAATCTTTGTATAGCTCCTCAGCAACTTTATCCAGTTGATTGTTCTCCTTCAATACCTTTCTTTTGTAAACCCTCCTAAACTTTGTACAATGATCAGCCACACAGAGGTTACCACTCAATTGGGAAAAAAACTTTTGTAATATGTAGTGAATTATGATTCTTCTACCCATTACTTCTTCTCCCAGGTCTTAAATTCTTATCCATTCTCATTACTCCTTTTGTGGTTTAAACTTTAAACCTGTTGTCTGTAATTGTCAAGCACTGAGCATCCCCTTGGGCAATGACATCTTTATGTCCCAACTTGTCTTCTGACTGAGACTTCATAGAATTTCTCTATTCTGGACTTCCCCCTATTGCTATTATCTTTAGATCCACCCTCTATAACCCTTCATATCTTTTCTGAATACCAAATCTGAGATAAAATCCTACAGTAGATGGGTAAAGGACCTACTATTCCATTTTCCATATTAACACTGAAACTCCTTGACTAAAGGAGGACCTCTTTATACAATCAGGAAAGGACCAATACAGGAAATTGGTGTGTAGAATATTTGATTCTTATGGTCCGATTTTAACAATATTTGATTAACTCATGTAAGAAAAGATAATAAGGGAATAATAGTGATCTGTCAATGTATCTATAAAAAAATAGTGATATGTCAATGGGCTCCAAGGGAAGCAAATGGGCTAGCAAATTCTCTAGCTAGGCAAGGGGTTGATAGGGAACATCTGTTTTGGGCTCAACTGTGATTTTGTATTATTTGGGGTAATATTACCCAAGGTTTTAAAAACCAACCCAGAACCGGAATTGTCCTGGCCACTAGTTCCCGGGTCGACGGTTTGACGGTTTGAATGGATGGCCCGTTCCAACAGAAAATAAAAAAATAAAAAAAGACAAAAACCGTTGAACGGGGCGATGGTTCGACTGCCCAGGTCAACAGGTTGTTGACCGGTTCAACGGTTTTTGGCTAGGGACCGGGTTTGGGGTAAAACGGATCGAATTGCCTGGACAGTTCTCGGGTCAAACGGTCTGACCTTCCGGGTCAACGACAGTTCGAAAGTATTGATATTACCCAAGGTTTTAAAAACCGACCCAAAACCAGAACTGTTATGGCCACCGGTTTCTGGGTTGAAGGTTCGACTATCCGGTTCGAATGGATGGCCTGTTCCAACAAAAAAATAAAAAATAAAAATAAAAAATGGCCAAAAACTGTTGAGCAGGTTGACGGTTCGACTGCCCGGGCCAATGGGTTGTTGACCAATTCAACGGTTTTTGGACAGGGACTAGGTTTGGGGTAAAACGGAACCGGTTGCCTGGACGGTTCCCGGGCTGAATGGTCTGACCATCCGGGTCAACAGCAGTTCGAAAACATTGATATTACCCCTCATAATCCTTGTACACTACTGTTTATATTAATGAAGTGTTTTCACTGTTAATCATCAAAAGAAAAAAAAAGGGAGGAGCATTTCATCAAAGCTAGGATGCCAATTTCATCAGCTTTGGATGGAAGGTTCTTCACGAGGAAGTAGCATAAGATTGGTTCCTTTGTGTGTGTACTTCTCTCGATTACTACCAAAAAATGGAACCACTTCTTTAAGCATCTGTATTATTAATTTGCAGCCAGATTCTCCAGCCAACTGATTGCTGTAATCCGTACTATCAACCTCTAACATGCTGTTCATTGGAGTCCTCGGTACTTCTTCATGAAATTTATCCCTTGTCTTAGAAATCACATTCTTGCCTCCCTTGTCATAATTCAGAAATTCAGGTCTAGAATCTGATTCACCTTTCTCTACAAACCCATAAGAAATCTTGCCCTTGTTGAAGCAGATCTCATCTCCATGTGCCACCCGCCCCCCCAATCCCAAGCCAGACATTGTTATCCTCCATCTTGTAAGAACCCAAATCTAACATGATTTCATCTTTCGAAAGTTACTTTTATATTTTCTCAATCAAATAAGACAAGCCATCTGACTTGTTGTGGATATCTCTTCTCCTATAAAGCCTTCTTCTATAAACTAATTCCAATCCCCCTGTCCTTCAATATATCACTTTCCCCAATTGACCTGATCTGCTTAACTCAATTCCCAACCCACGGCCACTTCACTCAACTCTTTTATGCTACATCCTTTTGTCTTTTATATATCTTCCAGCTCGATCCTCCAATTGGAACCTGACCTTTTATCCTGCCTAAAAAGTTATATCCATCTTCTCGAGAAACAGCATAAGACTTTGTCACTTTATAAGGCCCACTTCCTTTCTCTAGCCACTAGCAACATCTCTAACTCTTCCAAAGCTTCTATCTGCATTCCTAAATTTATTAGTCTCCGCATGTCCCACTTTTGAGTTTGAAATACAAAAACGTTCTGTTTGTACTCCATTGGTCACGTTCAACATTCAGCTTTTCTGTTTGTTCATCTTCTCTTTGTTCCACCTGGTAAGATTATTTACCTTCAACCATAGTTCTTAACTCATACTTCTCCCCAGCAAACATCAGATTGACAGTAATTTGAATAAAGTTCATTTCAACTATCTCTATCAGTATCCTTGCATATTTAATGAATTTCCAACTGATATTCTCACTGTCTGCTTGTATGAAGTGCCCACAAGCATTGACAGTTTCTCTAAATGTTTGATTGCAAGAAGCATGGAGGGTGATTGCTGCAAAGATATCCAAACCATCCTTGAAATCTTATCATTCTGATTCATCCCGCTGATGGCAACTGCCTATTAAGCTGAAGCTTTGGAAGACACTGACAAGTCCATTCCCAATCAAGGACAAATGAAGCATCCTCTTTTGCTAAGAAAGAAAAAACAAATATCTAGAAGGGCTAGGGGGAGATAAAAAAAGGACATAGGTTGAAGTAGTGAGAAAGGATTTAAGTGCTCATAATTTAACAATGGATATGGCACTAAACAGAACAGAATGACCAAACAGCAATCATGTAGCTGACCTCATAGAGTTGGGATAAGGATTTGATGATGACGAATTGCCTTTACCTGAACATGATATCATACCCCAGACGCCATTCTTGTGAAATCCAATCCGCAACAAAGTCTTCTTGTTGGTTCATTCCTGAATACCTTCCAATCAAACATCTGTCCAGGAATTCAAATGGTTTCATCATTTTCCAATGTTTGTTATCTCCACAATTCGAAAACTACCTTCTTAAGTTGACCACTCATCTGATAGGGGGAATGCAGTGTGCATCAGTTTCATATAACCCTTCCATGGAGATGAACCTCCATTTCAAAATTCAACTGATCCTATTGCATCCTTTTTCTTTATCAATCCTTGGTCCTAGAAATAAGATTTGATCTCACATGACATATGCTTTTTCTCACTTGAATAAACTTCAATGCCCAAGCTAGTTTGTAATTGAATTTTGCAAAGTTATAAAAACTCACAGAACACATTCTCCATTTATTCTCATTTTATTAGTAAATACCAAAAGAAGCGCATTACATTACTGAAAGTTGTGTAGCAAGGATCACACAATCAACTAAGTGGAGAGGTTTCTATACATCTGTGTAGGTCAATGAGTATTATTTTGTTGGATTGCAGATGACTAAGAACATATGGATGGTTTTGTTGAATATCCAGTAGATTACTTGTATTGTTACCTGATTCAGTGTAATTTGAAGATTCAATGCGCTTTTATTGTTGGAAGAAAACTTTGTTTAAATATGTATCTTGTTTTGTGCATCAGGCAAGATATTCTGGGTCAATTTTCTATGGTCAATCTTGAACTTTACAACATTGTTGAAGATATAAAGAAAGTGTCCAAGGCATTTGTTGTACATCCAAAGAATATAAATGCAGAGAATGCAACAAGTATGTTTTTCGCATCCTTCTCACTATAATGACACATAATCACCTGAATCTTTCTTCACATGAACTACACTAATGGAGATCCAAGCACTGTAGCAGCAGAGAGAAATGGGAAGGTTCATCATAGATGATCTAATGATATGGATTTGATAATATTTTACCATGTTTGCCTTATTCAGGTATTTTGGTTGAATCAGATACTCATCCTTTGTGGCAAGGGGTTAGACTGTGATGCAGGATTAATAACTTTATTAACAAACTGATGCAAAATGGACCTGCAAATAGGGAAAGAAGATAACCTAGGAATCAACACCTAATGGCTTCCGGAAGGATTTACAACCATCATGAAAATTAGAATTACTCTGACATTTGAAGTAGAAAACTCACATTTTATTATTTGATGTTAAAAAGAGAGGGCTTTACATATGTTTGTAGGCAAAGAGGGGATGGTTGGTAAGACTTTTCCCTAGTTTTCCTACTTAAAAACCAAGAAGTACCACCGAGAACGCAAGTCCTATGGATGACTTACTAAGAAAYTGGAAAGAGATTGCTTTCACTGCTAGATGCAAGAGGACTCTTTGTCCGTYCTGGTCCCCTCCCCCCTCGGGCTTTATAAAGCTGAATTTTGATGGCAGCAGTGTAAGGAATCCAGGGCCCTCTGGGATTGGAGGAGTCTTCAGGAATGAGGAAGGGATTGTTAYTGCTTTATTCTCTGGCCCTATTGGAGAAGGTGACTCTCTTAGGGCTGAGATCCTTGCAGCGCTTGAAGGAATTCGAAGAGCAAAAGATCTAAATATTAGCCGTTTGATTCTGGAAGGTGACTCRAAGGTGGTGGTTAATTGGTTGAAGACAGAGGACAGTGGTTTGTGGAACTTTAACAATGAGAAAAAACAGTTCTTATGGCTRGGKAGGGACATTGAGATTCAGTACAGCTGGGTGAAGAGGAGTGCCAACTCATTTGCGGATGGGTTGGCCAAGCAAGGAGTGAATAGGGAGGCTGTTTTTTGGGCTAGTTTTTAATTTTGGGGAGCTAAGTTATTTTATCTCCATTTGTATTCTTTTCCCTCTATTCTCTTAATTTAATGAAGTTGATGTTATTGATAAAAAAGAAAAAAAGTACCACCGAGAACTAATTAGGAATAGTGGTAAGTGAAGAGGACTTTGGCGTAAGACAGATCCTAATTAACTTAATACTAGGAAGAAGGGAAATTCTGCTTGCTTTATGACTAAAATTCTAGCTTAGTAATATAATTTTGACTCACTAACATAACTCTTAAGCCATTAGGAAAAAAAATCAGTGTAATTAGGAAAACTATTATTGACTAAAAAACTTCTGAAAGATTACAGCAATAGCCCCAAGACTACCAAACTGGTTTCTCCTTCATTTTTTTTATCCACAACAGAAAAATTTTAATTAAGAGAGGAACATTACAACTTTTAGGTAGCCTTGGCTACCCTCCAAACAAACTTAACAAAAAGCAGAAAGAACAGAAAAAAACTTTATCTTTTGAACTTTAAAACTTAGCCCAAAAAACACTGCTCTCTGCTAACCCCTTGCTTTGCTAAGTGATCTGTTAGACTGTTGGCTGACCTTGGGGTCCATTGAAAAACCAATTGTATATCCCTTGAAAGTCTCCTAAACTTTTTGATTTCATTCCTGAAGCTCCATGGAGTCTTTTCATTTTGTTTCAGCCAGCTTACAGTTACTTTTGAATCTCCTTCAACTATCAACTTATTCATACCTAATTCCTTGGCCTTTTGTACCCCCAAAATCACTGCCTTCAATTCTCTTTTTTTGATCAATAATCACTGCCTTCAATTCAGCTGTTGTTTTTTTTTTTGATGAACAATAATGGAATTTTATTAAAACAGAAACTGATTCAGGATTACAATCTCATACAAGATCCCTTAGGGAGGCGCAAGCTGCAGCCTTTCCTGACATAATACAAAGAAATTAGGAAAAGATTACTGGAATCACATCTGAGCCCAAAACAATTCTTCCCTATTTTCCCTTTGCTTGGCTAACACATCAGCCAAAGCATTTGCTGATCTTACCACCCACTTTTTTTTTGAAAAGGTAAGGTAAAAATTTTATTGATAAAGAGGAAAGAGTTACAACAGCAACCCAGTAGAAAACACTGGGAAGACAAACAACTTACAGAACCCAAATAGAGTGAGATTCAAGAAGCAGGAACACATTCTGGTTTTTAAAATCTGAAACAACAGATAACCAGGAAGCAAGTCTGTTGACTGCAATCTTTAACAGATCTTCAGGAGCTATGGCTTTGTTATAGAACACTTGGCTATTCCTTTCAGACCACAGAGAAACTAGGATGACTGCAGGAATTGTTTTCCAGACCAGCTTCCCTTTCTTACTCAGGCCAGATATCTTCCCACCCACTTTATAGACACTGACATATTCCTTGTTAGCCATTTAATCTTCTTAACTTCATTCTTATAGCACCAGTCTCATCAGGTTTCCTTAACCAGCCCACCGCCACCTTTGAGTCCCCCTCAATAATTAGTTGCTGTACCCCCATTTGGTTTGCAAACTGCACCCCTTGTACAGCAGCTAGCTTTTCTGCCCTAACAGAGTCACCAAGTCCTAAAGGACCCGACTACAATAGAACAACCTCTCCAAGCTCGTTCCTCACCCCCCCATTCCAGATGGCCCTGGATTGCCCAAGCTGCTACCATCGAAGTTTCAGTTTCAGTAAGCCTTCAGCCGGAGGACACCACCTTGGGACTACCCTGTTCTTGATGGAAGATCACCTCGCTATTGCCAACCAGTTCTCCAAAAGTCATTAAAGGAGAACTGATGGAACAGGTCCAAAGTCTTCAACCATTGTTTTGCCTTGGTCAATACACATCCTTTTAATTTCTGGTTATTTCTTTCCTTCTCTTGAAATATTCTATCATTCCTTTCTTTGCATATTGTCCAAATCAAGGCTGTTCTAGCACATCTCTACATTGATCTTCCTCCTTTTGTAGGCCAGCTGAAGGTAGATTGTTCAAAGATCAACTGTACTTCTGCTAGCAAGCTCCAACTACACCCAAACAAAGAGAGAAGCCAAACCCACAATTCTGTAGAGAGTGGACAGGAAATGAATAGATGGTAACAGTCCTCCCGTGAGCTCTATAGAGGCTAACACCAGTTGGGAGAAATACAAAGGAAGGGTCTTCTCTTTTGCAGGCTTTCTGAAGTGTTTACTTTCCCATAGTACACTTCCCAGCAGAAGGCCATAACCTTTGGGGGAATTGGCCTGAACCAAATTTCCTTAAAAGGAAAGACCTGTTGTTGAATCCCCTACCTCAAGCAGCCCTGAAAACAAGCCCAATATTACCCCATTTTGATCCCTTATTAACCCTCCTATTCCAGAAGGACCTGAATTACCAAAGCTGCTGCCATCAAAGTTAAGTTTAAGGAAGCCATTCTCAGGTGGGTCCCAGATTCTTGAAATGATGAGGCTGCAACTGTGCCCCACTCCCTATATATCATCATGGGTAAAGTCTGAGAATAAATTCAGTGACTTCACCCAATGTTCCACCTTCACCATAATACTGGTTTCTCCCTCATTTAGTTCATTAGCTGTATGTTTTTAGAGTTCCTTATCTCCACCCTAGCTAGAATTCTAAAGGTGGACAGTAAGTAGATTGGTAGGTTTTGCTAAGGTTGCTCTAGTCAGGGTTATTCTCACACCTATAGATAAGTAATTCCTCTTCCACAGGGCCAACTTCTTTATAAACCTTTCCACCATTGGCTTCCAAAAAACTTCTGACCTTGGATTCCCTCCCAATGGTAGACCTAAATGCTCCAATGGCCATTGTTTAACTTCACACCCCAGAATCTCAACTAGCTCTCTCATACTTTCATCTTCCGTGTTAATCCCTGCTATACAACTCTTTCCCCAATTTGTCTTCAGTTTGGAGACCGATTCAAAGGAATTAATGAGCTCTCACAGACTTCTTATGTTCTCTTGATTACCTCCCTCATAGAATAACATGATGCCATTTGCAATCCGCAAATGTGTGGCTGTCACCTCAGGTCTTCCTATCCTCCATCCTCTAAATAGGTTGCTCTAGTCAGCCTCCAAGATCATCTTACTTAGAACATCAACAATTAAAGTGAAAAGGAAGGGAGAAAGGGGATCCCCTTGTTCAAACCTCTTTTCATTGGAAAGTAATCTTTAGCCACACCATTAATCATGATTGTGTACTGCACTGAGCTTAAGCAACCCTTCATCCACATCCTGCACCGCTCCCCCAATCTTCCTCCAAAATGCTTCCTTTCAAGGAGTCTGCTTCAACATTCAACTTGGAAAATTCAAGATTGGTTTCCCATCTTGAGTTTGAGGGAGGGTGTGGAAGATAGGATTATATTCTTCAGTTTTCTTTGAGGGAGGATATTGGGGGTTATAGAGGTGTTTTTGTAATATTGTTAAAGATATGGGGACTTTTCTGTATTTATGAAAGTAAAAGTGGTCTATTTGTAATTTTGGGATGGTTGTGTCTTCTTATTTAAGCCCTAACATGGACTTGTTTGGGCTTGCCTTGAGGGGCTTGGTACAAAGGCGGCTTGTAGAATTAGGAAAGCAATATGGTTTACATCACATTAGCTTCTTGAAGTAATGCAATTGAGGAAAAAAAAGAGATTGTGGGATAAATGCTTGAAAATGTGTTATATGTTTGATTTTATTTTTAAATTTTCATTCTAATATGCTTTACATGTTATGTTTATGTATTTTAATTTTAGATAATAGGTTTTTAAAACATTTATTTTGAAACTTAAGTTTATATTTTTTATTAATATTATGTTTAATATTTTTTGGCATTTGTTTTTGTGTTTTTGCCCCTTGCTTCAAAAAAGGCGTGCGCCTCACCTTGCGCCTTGCACCTTGGGTGCAAATCACTCCTTGTGCTTTTAAAACACTGTCGAATTTATGGTTGAGAGAGAGTGAGAGAGGCCAGTGCTTCAAGGGCATGGTTTTCTAGGTGCCAAAGCGAGGCTAGGCGATAGGAGGTACCTACGCCTTTTTTTAACACAAACCATGAATCCTAGCGTAGGTTCCTAGCAACCATATTTCACTAGAAAATGAAGATATTCATGAGAAGAAAAAGAAGAAAGAAATGAAGCTCCAGAAATATAGGGGCTGAGCCCCAGTTTTTGTCATAGAAAAGAAGAAAAGAAAAGGTGAAAGAAGAATATTTTGATTGGACCAATTTTTAAGTTCTTCCTTTCTTATTGGTTCAGGTTTAAGTCTTTGAGGGTTCAAGACAGCATGAACCAACATGTATCTTGATTGAACCCAAAAAAATTGGAAAATAGTAAAAAGAAACTAGTATATAAACTCTCCATGGGTGCCTTCTTGCTAGGCGTCACGTTGACAACTATGTTTAAGGGTTGTATCCTTTTCTGATTTGTTTCCCAATCACGGATTGATTTCCTCTCCCATTGATGTAGGATTTGTTTTTTTTTTTCTGTTATTTTTTCACTTGTTTTGTGTGGATTAATACATATATGCCGATATTAGTAAACAAATAAGAATGAAGTACAAAAAGATGAATAAACTGTCAAATTGTACTAATTTCTAAGCTCAAGGTTGGGGCTTTGAACACTGTAATTATGGTTGTGGTGTTGTTGAGTGCAATTCTTCCATTGACACACAAATTCTCATTCTTCTACATAATTTAGGACTATTTATTCATTTTTTTTATTGTGTACAAATGCCTGAGGGTGTGATTGACCTTTCCCAGATTCTTTTTATAAATCGCTCAGACCATCTATGTTATAGTTCCTCATTTATTGTTTATTTTGTCATGTGAAAGTGATTTTCTTAGGTTTGCTAGGAAGTTCCTAATTCTGTTTTTGTCAATTACATGTAGTGTTTTTAGTAACATCTTACTAGTTTTTTATAGGTAACAAAAATACATTCATTAAATACAGATTCTTACAAGTTTTTTATAATGGAATATTTTGGTTACAGTTCTTCCCGTGATGTTGTCATCAAAGCTATTGCCTGAGATGGAAGCAGAGGACAACTCCAAGAGAGAGCAATTACTACATGGGATGCAAAACCTTCCAATACCCACACAAATTGAAACGCTAAAGGTGTTTTGAAGTCATGTTAAAACCCCAAGTTTCTTTTTCTTTGTTTATCTCAGCCATGTTCTTTCTTCTATTTTACAGAAGAGAATTGACATGATTGGAGCAGCCTGTGAAAGTGCTGAAAAGGTCATTGCTGATACTCGCAAAGCCTATGGTCTGGGCACTCGTCAAGGGCCCACAATTGTTCCAACTTTAGACAAAGTTCAAGCTGCAAAAATTCAAGAGCAAGAGTCTTTACTTCGTGCTGCTGTAAATTATGGTGAAGGTGTTTCTCTCACTGTTCGTTCATTTAGTTCCTACTCAATCAATATTTTCATCTTCATATCAAGTCAGCCTTTAGTGTTTTGTTTTCTTTGTCATTACAAGAAGATTCAAGTCAAAATCATGTGCTGTATTTTTTGATTAGTTAATGGTTTTATTAAGATCTGGAATAACCAAGCATCACATGCATCCCTTGGAGAGGTGCAAGATGCAGCCTCTCACAACACAACAAGATAACACTTACAACTGAGCCTGGTCAAAGTCGTGTGCTGTTTAGTAATTGGTTTTATTCTGCTGTTAATCATTGAGTTGCTATACCTGCTGTCATGAGGAGGATTTTATCAGTTCTTTGATTTCCATTATTCCCAAAATTTATACTTTAGTACATGAAGTTAACAGTGAGAAACACTTGAGATGGCATGGACTTCTAGGAGCTAAGCGAAGTCATATGTGATGCACTCCATTATGAGAAAAACGGAAGTACATCAAAATTCTTAAACTTCTAGAAAGAAAATGAGAAAGAATAAATACAAGTATGTTGATAAAAAAACAATAAATACAAGTAAGCTGTGTATTATACCAAAAACCTTGCTGATTCTTTAGAAAGGGCTTGGATGAATAGAGAGGAGTTGGCTTGGGGGATGCCAGTTATGGGATTGAAGCTGTATCTCTGTTTTGAATAACAGAGTACAAGTTTTGTCAGCCTTTGGCTCTTCTATTGTATTGGTTCCCTTCTTCCAAACTTGTTGGATGTTTGGGTTGTTTTTTTCCACTCCATATTACAATTTCTCGAGGTTCCCCATTGCACCATCACTAGAGTTTTCACAAAGAACAATAATGTCAATAGCAAACTGTAGATGGGAAGCTCTAACTTGTTCTCTCCACACCCTAAAACTTCTAAGGAGACTCCTAGAATTTGCTTTGGATATGAGGTGGCTTGGCACATCTGCTAATAGGATAAATTGAAAAGGAGAAAGTATGTCACCTTGTCTAATTTCTCACCTAGTAGGAATAAATCTTTTCTTTTGGGATAATTAACAGAAATTTTATTAAAAGTAAAAAGCAGAAAGTACAATAGAAATGAGGGAGGGGTAAAATCTCTTAACCCTCCCTGAGATTCATATTCTTGTTACAACATTGGGGAATAACTCCTTTGGAGTTGCACTAACTAAAAGTGAATAGTTCACAGATCCCACACAACTGTTAACCCACCTCCATCTCTTACCAAAATTACTCTTATCCAATCCAAAAACTCCCAACATTATGCTTTTCCTAATCCAAGTTTGCAAACCCAACCTTTCTTTCCCAATCTCTTCATTCCAAGCCCAAACCAAATGAATAGACCCAGCCATTTCTCTTGGTCCCTAAGCTCTCACTTTTGGAGCCATTTCCCTCATTTAAGGCCAATATGCCTCTTAATTTAGTCTATTTGAGCCCAATCTTAGTATCAGAAGAGGTACCAGAAGAATAAGAATACGCTAGAAGATATTTTCTACTATTTATTTATTTTTATTAGGTAACTTTAGTGGCATGTAAGATCAGGGTTTCTTGTCCCTATAAATGATTATGTTCTTTTATTGAAATTAATGAAAGAATGAAGTTTATATGAAATTGATTTTTTTTGCAATTCTTGGAGTTTATGAATTCAGTTGTCCTTTCTCTCTTGATGGCAAAACTATCTATCTATCTATCTACTGGGTTGCTCTATTGCAACCTGGGTGACCAGGGTTCAAATTTTGGAACATCCCACATATTATTGGAGTCACTGGTTTCATCGGGATACTCCTTGATTCCATTCCTTGAGTGCACTTTGCCAATTCTGTGGATGCTCTCCACTCATTCCCACCGTTCTACAAGACCATTATGGCTAGTCAATGTCTAGAAATATGAGGTAAGCATGTTGTATGGTGTCCAATTTCTAGAATACCTTTGTTTGATATAGAATTGGAGGAATACATTAATCTTCTTAGTATGCTGTAGCCAACAAATATCCATTATTCATTGGGTCCTAGATGGTGGAATCAATGCCTAGATAGGTGGTTTACTGTTAAAAGTTGTTTTATGATGTAATTATTAGAAATCAGGTGGAGCAGTTTCAAAGGTGTTGCTTGGTGCAATGGTAAAATCTTAGGTGACAAGTGTTTGAAAATGGGTTTGAGTAGGTGGGTTCTTCCTTCCAAGTTCCAACATTTCAAGTGTCCATTGCTTCCAATTCATTTGTCTGTTTGAAAAGGAGGCATAGAATCATACAGAGAAGCCTTAGAGCTGCTGTAACTTGGACTATTTGGGAGGAGAGAAATGCAAGAATATTTCTTGAGAAAGAGAGAAGTAAGGATGTCTTAATAGAATGCATAAGTCATAACCATCAGAGTCATTCACTGGCTGAAGCCTCTAGAGTTGTTCTCAGACTTTTTGGTGGAAGACCTACTTAGAAAGTGGTTGGGGGCGGCTAGCTCTTCAGCAGTGAAACCTAGAAGTGGTGTGTCCTGGAAACCACTGACTGAGGGATTCACAAAATTGAATTTTGATGGCAGCAGGGGGGGTGTATCCTGGGGTACTTCCCAAGGTTCCATAATCATATTTTCTTAATAAATATCCATAATTTTCATAAGAAAAGTATAAATTTCATTTTTAAGTATAGAAAATCAACATATTCCAACATATTCATGGGAAGAAAAAGAAGAAAGAAAAGAAAATTAAAAAAATGTAGGGGCTGAACCCCTATTTCTGTTATAGGAAAAGAAGTATAAAAACACAAAATTAGTAAAGAAAAAGAAGAAAATGTGTTGATTGGACAACATTTTATGTTCTTTCTTACTTATTAGTTCAGGTTTTGAAGTCTTTGAGGGTTCAATACAGCATTTAGCAATGTTAGTGTTGATTAAACCTTAACAAATTAGAAAATAACAAAAAGAAATTAGTATATACACACACACACACAAAATGAGTATTTTAGTTTAAAAATGTCTATTTTATAATTATAACCTCAAAAAAGTAGGACTATAAAAGTTTGTTATAATACACTATAGAAAACTGCTTGGCGATTAGGTGAGGCGAGACCCCAAGGGTGCCTTGTCTCCTAAGCGTCGCCTTGACAACTATGCTGTAGGAATGATCTTGGTCATGTGGTGGCACTTTTCTTGGGTCTGGTTGGTGATGGGGATTCCTTGAGGGCAGAATTAATTGCAGTTGTGGAAGGGGTAGTCAAAGCAAAGGAATTGGGTCTGCACAGGCTAGTTGTAGAAGGTGATTCTCAATTGGTGATCAATTGGCTACAAAGTAAACAGAATGGCCTTGGAAGTATCATAATTAACTAAAGAAAATTAAAAGACTTTCTAGGGATATGGATGTGAGATTCCAGTCGGTCCAAAGGGCAGCTAACAGCATGGCTGGCTACTTGGCAAAACAAGGGGCTGGGAGAAATCAGTTGTTTTCAGATCAATTGTAAAGATTTTCAATTTTGGAGATTAGCCGTTTTTATCTCCATTTGTATTGTACTCTTTCTTTATCACTTTAATTAATGAAAGTTTCAGTTATAGTTAAAAAGGGGTTTTAGTCTTGAGTGGCCACTTTTTGCAAAAAAACAAAAAAAAATGCAAGGTTTGGTTTGTATCTAGTCCACCCCTCCCAAGACCCTGGATGGCTGTGAACAATGTTCGGTAATGGCCCTTTTGGGTGGAGCAGTTTCAAGTCGAAGGAGTATGAGGAAATGAAATCTCTCTAAAGAGTGGAATTCGATAGTTTTTTGACAATTTATCTCCTAAAGTTTAGATGTTTTTACATGGCAAGTTTGTTTTTCATGTAAAAAAGATGTAAAGATGTGTGGCACTTATTCAGTCATTGTGGAGTGGCAGAGATCATATGATCATACTTTTTGTGCTATGGAGGCTGTCCTTGTCCCAGATTCAGTCCTAGCTAGCTGCATGAGAATCTTTCGCTTCCAAAAGAAAATGAAATAAACAACCATGGACAAACCAACTATACAAGGAGACTCACTGAGAGTGGAACTAATGGGGTGATTAGACATTTATACCTAAACCTAAATCCAACCAACTATACAAGCCAATTTGCAAAATAGTCCCTATATGTTCTTGTATGCATAATACAAGCCCATCCAGAGAAAATGAAATAAACAACCTAAGGCAAACTAACAAGATGAAGAAGCAACAAAAAGATCAAAGAATGTAACTACTCCAGCTATCTCTCACCTGCAACCAATCATTTCTTCCTTCTTACTCAGCTTCTGCCCTAGTTCTCTTCAATGAAAAGTTTTCACCATTTTATGAGTTCTCTCCTCCTTTACCACCCTTTCTTTAATGCCTCCACTTTTCACCATCAAAGCCAAACCTCCCTTTTCAACCTTGTATAGACCTCAACTTATTGAGGCCTATGGTTTAACCATTTCCCTCTAAACAACTTTACAAACCTTGAAAGCAATGGAACTGAGTTCAAATAATTCAGTTCCAATAGAAGTCACTTCTACTGCTTGAAGGGCTAAACATTGTCACAAAATGCAAAGTGCATAGTAATATTTTTTCTGATTGATAACCGTATTACTAATCTTAAAGGATCTTACACATTCAGGATTACGAATACCTGGAGATCAGAGGCACATTTCTTCTGCCCTTCCCTTACATCTTGTAGATGTGCTTACTGCTGGAGATGGTACACAGGGTTTCGCTGATGCTTCTGGTAAGCAGTTTCTATCTTCCTGTTGTTACAAATTTCTGAATATTTTCTATAATTCTAGTGTAACTTTGTTGCTTTTGTGGTGTGCATTTCTTTTGCAGGAATGTATCAAAAGAACACGCCCCCCTTGTCATCGAACACTGTTGGCATTCAGGGAGCTGTACCACAGGTTAGAGTGTTGATATGACTTGAATCTAATGTGTGTGGTTGTTTTAGCATAGGAATGTGTGTGGTTGTTTTAGCATAGATGAAAAAAATTCAATGTACTGGTTCTATGCCATGGTTTATACACTTAATTACTAATCCTCTTTTAGCTCATCTGCTTCTGGTTTCTGTGTAAGTGGATTTTAATGTTTCTGTTCCTACCATACAGATGCATTTTTCTCAGCAGTCAGTTCTTTTTATCCTCCCTTTTTCTGATATTGACTTTTTTGTTATCCATAATTGATGTTACAAAAAGTGTTCCATTCCAGAAACCTGCTCTAGTTATATATAAAGTAAGAACGTCATTGTCCATTTTCATTAGTCCACACTCCACAATGGTGAACATAGTTGGCTTCCATTTTGAAGTTATGAGTGGACTTTTGATGTAAAAGGTTCTGTTTGTTGATTTTACCTTCGATTTTATTGGGTCTAACTGCCTATTTGATTCTCATGTTAAAATCTAGGGCTATCTTCATTGTGTTCACTGTGGAATAAATGAGCATGAGTACCCTGATTTTCTTCACATTTATGAAAGATCATGATGGTGCTTTTGAAATCCAGTGGTGGGAAGGGTAACTAAGAAAGTAAGAAGCTTACCACTTGGGAAGGAACTATCTGTTTAAGATGCGGAATTAACCTAATCAAATCCATCTTATCTTACCTATTTACTTTTTACCAGTTTCCAAAATCTGTGTTGATAGCAAAAGTAATTTTTTTGATCAATAACTACAGATTTCATTAAACCAGAAAATAGAATACAAAGAGGGAGAGATAAAATCTCTTAACTCTGCCCAAATTTAATGAAGAAGTTACAATTGAGCCCAAAATAACTGATTTCTTCCCACCCCTTGTTTTGCCAAGACATTGGCAAAGCCATTAGCTGTTCTTTTGACCCAATTAAATCTCACATCCATGCTTCGTATCAACCATTTAACTTTCTTCCTTTCATTACTATAACTCAATAATCCGGCTTCTTCCTTTTGTAGCTAACCCACCACCAATTTTGAATATCCTTCAATAATCAACTTGTTGATGTTCATCTCCTTTGCTCTTTGTACTCCTTCCATCAAACCCAACATCTCATCCCTCAATGAATCCCCAACATCAATTGGCCCTAAGAATAGACCAATGATGTTGCCCATCTTGTTCCTGAAGAACCACCAATACCTGAGGGACTTGGGTTGCTTGCACTACTTCCATCAAAGTTCAGCTTAATGAAGTTGTGAGTTGGTGGGGACCAACCATGGTTAATAACTGAAGGAAGGTGAAATCCATCATATGGATGGCCGAACCATGCCAGATGGCTGGGCGAAATTTCAAAAATTTTCTTTTTACCCTTCCGGGAATCGTATTCCCAGTTTTAGAAAAATTGCTTTTTCTAGGATTGTTCTTGCACCGAAATTGGACCAGATTTGAAACCAACAGAAAGGGAGAGAAATACCTGATACGGAATCCACAAGTGTAGCTCCCAAAGTGGTAGTTCATGCCCAAAGAGAATACCAAAACCAGCTTCCACTGAAGATGGCACAACTTGAATTGAAGCCGGTTCAACAACACAGGTTTTAGCAAAACTGTGATCCAACACCTTGGATCGAACAAGGGAGGTGAGCATGAAATTTTCTGATGTTTTCTTGCAAAAAATCAGAAATCAAGACTGATCAAGATTAGCTACAAGGTGGAGAATGAACTAGGGTTTCTGGGGCAACAAGAGTAGAGTGATCTGAAGCAGATTTCGATCTCCTCTTTTTTCTTAGCCTTAAGGATAACCACTCCTAATCGAATTAGGAGGCTCTTAATGCAGATCTTCATAAATTCCTGTGAGCTACGAGAGCTTCCTTTACTACAGGCTACCTACACTTGGTCCAACTTCCAAGAAAACCCAACCTGCTCAAAGCTTGATAGATTCCTATTTAATGAGG